CTTTAGACAGTGTAGACTCCACAACAAACTCTATTACATCCTAAGTGATTGACAGACTGGTGGAAGTCTCTATCAAGTTTGGATTGTAGACTTCTACCTCATTAATCAAAGTGAGTGTCGTATATGCTTCTGTGGCATGTCTTTTCTCTAGTCGCTCCAAGGCTCTGAGTTTGCGGTGGTTGGCATTTCTGAGTTGTGTCCTCCTTAGTGGCACATCAGGTACTCTGTCTGCAGAAACACCAACTTGATCTCCCAAAATCATAGTAATTATTGATTGTAAGTGACTGGTACCTTGCATCATATATTGTACCCTTTCTACTTTCTTCCAATTAAGTCTTGTGTCATACTTATTATTGAATTCGAGCAACAACTGTAGCCCCTTTTTTTCTCGTCGGCTAACAGTATTCATTATGGGGCCCTCATAGTCTACATTGACCTGACCTCAGTTCAATTCAAAATACACAACACCACCTTGTGCTATCTTTTCTTTGTCTAATGCGAGATTTAAGCCGTCTTTAAAGGAGAAAATCAACTTCTAACTCGAGATTTTTCTGCAAAAAAATAAGAAAACATTAGTGCGCTGAGATTCAAAACAAAGAAGAACAAGAATAAATCATTCATAAGTGGATTTTAAGAATATACAAGTATTTAAATTTAATTTGGGCAAATACATAATTTAAACAAAATATTTAAAAGTGCAAATTCAGATATTTTTTTTTTTTTAAATATGATTTGGTTACAAAATTTTGGACCCAAACACAGACGGTAGCCAAATAGCAATCCTCATAACAGGTATTACTTTCAAATTTTAGTTCGGAGAACATCAAGTTGTATAACATTGTCGGCACTATTTTTGGTTGAAGGAGTTGCCCGTTGGAAGCTATCAATCAATGGAATCAAAATCCCATCTTCCGCTTCGGAAGGATATTTTTATTTTTATATATATACCATAGAATCCCAGAGATTACAAATGGAGGTTGCATCCATTGGCAATAATCTGAAGGTTGGATCCTCTTCTGGCCTCTCTAGAGGGAAGAAAAGATCTAGATCACAACCCTCACTCCATATTTCTCCTCCAAATGTTTAAGTTCTCTCTTTTTTGGTATATGGCCTCAGGTCACTTTAAGTCTTTCAGAAGATTTCAGAAAGACTTTTAACTTTTCTCCTTAGCTTCAGTTGTAATGTTTTGAGTTTTGGTTTCTCTGGCCTTTGGGTGATTGTAGACTTCTGTCGATTTTTCTACATCCTCTATCTAAGAAGATATGGGAGCCTTTTTGTTCTCTTCCTTTTGTTTCAATTTAGCAAGTCACTGTTCTTACTTCCTATGAGAAGTTTTTTTTTTTTGGTCAACTTTTTGGGCTATTATGATAGCAGTCATACGATTCCCTTTCTCTTATATAATTGATGATTAAATTGATGTGTTGGAATATCCGGGGGTTTTAAGATCAAAAATCCTTGATCAGACCTAATTAGTTGGTCAGGAAGCACAGGTTATTATGCTTTACTATTCTTGAAGCTTTGGTTCACAGTACCCCTTGCAGATTTAGAAAGCACTTCCCAAGTTTCAGCTCCAGTTACAATATTAATAACAAAATTTAGTTCAAAATATAATTTTTCTTTAAAAGGAATCTTAATGTTCAGATCTTGGGTGATTAGCCTCAATTTCTACATATCAAGCTACTTTGGGACTTTCTACATGTTAAGACTACCTTTTGTTTATGCCGGGAGTTCTGCTAGTGATAAAGTTACATTATGGCAACAAATTCAGCTGCTGAAATCTTCTATTAATGGACCTTGGATCATTGGTGGAGATTTTAACAGTATAGCTAAATTGAATGAAAAATTGGTTGAGAAACCTGTGGATATCAACAAAATGTTACCCTTTAATCAAAACATCAGGAATACTGATCTTGCTGAACTTCCACATCAGGGACCTCTTGATACTTGGAGGAGAGGTAAACTTTTTGAGAGAATTGATAGGTTCATGGTTAATCAGGCTTGGTTGGATACCAACTTTATGACTATTGTCTCCCATCTTCCTTACACGTGTTCTGATCCTAGGCTATTGTTAATCTCTATATCCCTTAATCTTGTTTCTCCCATACCAAGATTCAGATTCTTTAATGTATGGGTGGAGCATCCTGATTTTCTTCCCTTTATTAAGTCTATTTGGCTTCCTGTTTCATCGTTTCCTCCTTGGATTAGATTATGGCAAATTCAAAAAAAGGTTGCTAAACTGCTGAAAGCTTGGAATTGGAGCTGTTTTGGCAACCTTACAGCAAATATTGAAGAGGCTGAAGCTACTGTTAAATAGGCTGAATTAAATATTCAGATGGGGCTCTCTGATGAACAAAACCAGATCTTAGCTAATGCTAATCTTCTTCAAGCTATTCATTGGGAGGAGGAATTCTATAAACAAAAGGCAGCCAATAAAAAGTTTGTTAATGGGGATAGAAATACAAGGTTCTACCATGCCTGTATTTAACAAAGAAGACACTCTAACGCCACCTTGAAGATTAAAAATAATAATGGCAGTTGGATCCAGGGTGTTGATCTAATTCATAGGGATGCTATAAATCACTTTCAGACTCTATTATCTGAACCACATGATGCTAGTCTTCAGAACTTTTATCCTAGTTTGCTTAATGACAAATTCTCTGAAATTCACTGCTTGGACTTAACTTTTATTTCTGCTGAGGAAGAAATTTGGCAAGCTTTATGTTCTATTGATGGTGATAAAGTGGCTGGTGCAGATGATTTTACTTCTACTTTTTACAAAAAAAACTTGGGAGGTGGTAAAATTTGATATTGTGGAAGCTATTCAGGCCTTCTTCTGGGGGGATGATATGCCACAATATTTTGCTCAGTCAACGATAACTTTAATTCCCAAGGGGGATCAAAAATCTAGTTGGGATCATTTCAGACCCATATCTCTTACAACCGTGTTGTCTAAGCTTTTAAGCAAACTTTTGGTTTTCGGATTAAAACCACATTTATCTTGGATGATTTCTCCTAATCAATCTGCTTTTGTTACAGGCAGACAAGTTGCTGACAATGTTCTACTTACACAGGAACTCTTTCTTGATATTGACAAGCCTTGCAGGGGGGTAACCTCATGTATAAGCTTGATATTTCTAAAGCTTATGATACTATCAATTGGAATTTTATTTTGGAGGTTCTTAACGCAATGGGGTTTCAAAATTCTTCCTGTCAGATCATTCACGGATGGCTTAATAATAATTCTTACACCATTCTTCTTAATGGGAATTCTCAAGGCCAGTTCCAAGTTACTAGGGGAATCAAACAAGGGGACCCTATTTCTCCCTACATTTTCATTTTGGCTATGGACTACTTATCAAGGCTGCTTAACCAATTTTTTTTTGAAAGGGAATATATCAGATTTGCTAAAAAAGCTAATTATTCCATATGTCATTTATGTTATGTTGATGACTTCATATTGTTTTCTAAGGCTTTAAAACCAGCAGTGAAGAAGGCTTTCAGTTTATTGAACCTGTTTCAACAGATTTATGGTCTCTCTCTGAACCGAAAGAAATGCCAGCTCATCTTTAGCAATAAGCTTAATTCTGCAACTAAAAACTGGGTTAAAGACTTCACTGGATTTAAATCTGCTACCAGCCCTTTGGTTTATCTTGGGGTATAATTAATTAAAGGAAGGAAGAAGCAAACTCAATTTGATGAGCTAGTTTCTAAAATTTCCAAACAAATCTCTTGCTGAACTAATTCTTATCTGTCACAGGGGGGAAGATTAACCTTAATCAAAAGTATCCTGGCTTCTTTCCCTATGTATATTATGCAAAAAAAAGGCACACATAAAACCTTGGAGGTGATGTTGAAAAATTTTTTGTAGGAAGGAAAACATAAACAAGCTCACTGGTTTACCTGGGACAAGCTTTGCCTGCCTCTTACTGCAAGGGGGCTTGGTATGAAGTCTTTCAAACAAATTCATGATATCTTCTACTGTAAACTCTAGATCAAATTTAGAGAGCAGAATTCTTTATGGGCTAACTATATGAAGTTAAAATATTGCAAGCACTCTCATCCTACAATTATCAATAGAAAATGTGAGGATTCTAAAATTTGGACTGAACTCCTACATATCAGGAATGTGGCTGAACACATTTTTTTCTGGGATGTGGGAGAAGGAAAAATTGATTTTTGGTTAGACAATTGGCTACTTGATGGTAAATTAGAGCCATCTGCCTCTCTGGGCTCAGCTATCAGCACCCCTACTCAATTATGCTGGGATGGTCATTATTGGAATAAAGATATTTTGGCTTCTTTGGTGAATCCTGAACAATTGTATCAAATCCTTAAGCTCTCAGTCACTCCGCATAAACCAGATAGAATTTTGACTAAAAATCCTCCTCATAACTCTCTTACCAAATTTGCATATTATCAATTAAGCAAATGACATCACAAGGATTGGGGTCAAGCCATGTGGATGAAATATCTCAGCCCCTCTATGTCCTTCTTCACTTGGAGATGTTTTCATAATATTATTCCCACTGATGATATACTTAAACTCAAGGGTTTAAAAGGACCTTCAAGATGTAATTTTTGCTGCCAACATGAGGAATCCTTCAATCATTTATTCTTCTCTTGTCCTGTTGCTCAAGGGGTTTAGACACAGGTGGCTTCTAAACTTAATTTCCCCTCCCATCTGTTGGGTTTTAGAAACTTCCTTGACTGCTGGAAGGTTTGGAAAGAGAACCATGTTGAAATAATACCTTTTATTACTACATGGTTCATCTGGACGGAAAGAAATAGATGTAAATATGAGGGAAGAACTCAAAGTGCCACACAAATTGTTATTAACGTCTATGCCTATACTCTTAAGATAATCAATCTCATGGGTTACAAGATTAAAGATTAAAGGTTCTCCCAAGTCCTTAATACTTAGAGTTCTCCTTCTGTCAAATCACATTTCCTCCTGTTCCATTGGAGGAAACATGTTTATCCTTGGATTAAAATCAACACTGATGGGAGTTATAGAAGACACTGTGCCCGTATTGGGGGGATTTTCAGAAATTAAATTTGGGGAATGCCTACAATTTTTCCAATCTCCCACTGATGCTTTAAATGCTTTACAAGCTGAAGCCTTAGTTGTTGTATGGGCACTTCAAAATGCTGTTGTTATGGGATGGAACCTTCTAATTGTTGAGCTGGACTCCTCATGGCTAGTCCAGCTTTTAAAGGATAACATCTCCCCATCTTGGTTTCTTCTCCCTACTTTTAAGAAAATTTCTCACATGAAGATGACTCAAAACTTGCAAATTAATTGGAATCATATCTTCAGGGAGGGTAACAGATGTGCTAATTGGCTTGCAAATCAAGGTGCACTGTCTATGTTGCCTAAAGTGAATACCACCCCCCCTTTGGAGCTGGATTTGGTTATTAATGCAGATCTATCTGATCTACCTTATAACAGATGGGGGGTGTCAATTTCTTGAACTTCTAATCATTCTACATATGGAGGGCTCTTGTTTCCTTGGGTTCTTGCTAATTTGGAATTTTCTTTTATTTTTTTCTCTTCAGGCCCTATTGTATGGTGAAAGGTTTTGACATGTTACAATTGGTTTTTATTTTCTTTTTTGGGGGAGCTTTGGGCCCTTTTGGGTGGACCTTGGTTTCTATTTGTGAACCAAACCCCCTACAGCTTTTGTAACCCTTTAATTCAGTCTAACATGTAGGGAGTCTCTGGTACTCCTTTTTCAAAAAAAAAAAAAATCTAGTTTTATTTTGTTAGTTTTTTAAATAGGAAATAAAAATGACCTCGTACTTTTCACAGTTTAAATGAAAGAGAATTATACCTCAAAGCATGTATCTATCCTGAAGGATAAACACAAGACTTGAGGATGAGGCTCCATCAAATAAATAAAGAAAGCTATGACATCTGTTTGGTTTGTGAAACTGTTTTGTTTGCCGCCAATTTCATCTATTTAATATGAAGAATTTAATAGGATTTATTTTAGGCTGGGTTCGAAAAAGCTTCCTATAAGGGCAAGCCCCTATAGTTAATTACATCTTAAATGACCAAAGTCACTTAAGAAAACTCTCAATAAAAATCATGAAATATTATCTTCAAGGAGTTCAAAAGGATAAAACTTTTCAACAAAATTGGACAAAGAGGTGTGAAATGGGAATAGCTCAAATTTGGAACATTTTATTGTAGAATTTAAAGGAGGAAGAACTAGGGGATGTCATAGATCAGGAGGAGAAGCTTGGTGACTTCCCAGTTTATCCTATTATTTGGTTTCAATTTTGAGGAGGAATTATTTAAATATTTCATCCTGATAATTTTATTAGTTTAGGGCTTATATTTGTGCAAAACGATCACGCAAATAACCTGGAAGATGTGTGGATTTAGGTCGTGACAAATGAAAACCTCAAAATCGTAAGACTAGTCGGAGCTATACAAAGGCCTAAAGATGAGGTGAGGATTTATGTTGCATAAGCAAACTAGCTCGAAGTCCTGTGGCTTGGTTGTTTAAATCTAAAGAAGCATATGCTGTTGTATTTCTTCTTGCTGTTGAAGATGGTCGTGCTACCCATAGTGCTTGCTCCAAGCTCCTTGTTGTGGCGAGTTTAAGTTTTTTAGTGTGTCAAATTATGATGTCAAATTAGATGTCCCTATGGTTGGAGTTCATTAAATTTTTTGGGGGCATGTTAAAGATGATTAGAGCGACATCGGCTAAGATCCTACTTTTCCCTCATTCCGGCACCACTATCTTCTATTGGATTCACTTGGTCCAAATGAATTTACTAAACTCAACTTAATGAGTTCCGTAATTTCATTTAGACAGCGGGAAGCCTCATTAACTACCGTAGGTTACCTCCTCCGAGGATTTCCCAATCATCTGATAGAGACATTTTAATTTAGTTGAAGTTGTTATTTTATATTCTGAATGTGGTGGCAGTGAATTTTATCTTTGTTGATTTTAGTTTTTGTTGATGACTATCCTAGCAGTTTTGGTTTTCATGCAGGGTGACATCGTTGTTTAACATGCAGGTTTGTGTTTTTTGTTCATACATGCAGGTGAGTAAGTACAGTAACGTACTGAAAAGTAAAGTATGGGAGTAAAAAAAGTAAAGTATGGGAAACTAAAAAAAATATAGGTAAGTAAATCACACTAAAAACGTACCTGGATGGTCTTCCCATCATCTTCTTTTGAAACTCAAAATGCATGTGAGAGCATTTATATATTAAAAGCATTTTATGTAGAGAGGGAAGATAAGGTTCTGGTGATCTACCAAATCCTAAATCATATCTTGGTGAGCCCTTATTAAATCATTTGAAATATCTTGGTGAGCCCTTATTAAATCATTTGAGGATGATTTCATCAAGCAAAACATACAAAGTTTAGCAGATCTTAGAGGTATCCAAAAGGTTAAAGGAAGAAGCATGTCCATGCTTCCCTCTCACCGCTTGGTGAAAAGTCTCGAGCTCATTTAAACTTATTATGTTGCCTAATAATTCATCTTATAAATACCTCTAGTGTTCAGTTAACATCAATGTTTCAATTATCCCTATGAGTAGAGTGATTATCATTTGTCATTTAATCTGAGAATTATGTGGGTGAAAAACCTTAAAAGGGGCAAGTTAATGCTATTAAGACACCTAGCCAATTTTAGCTTTAACTTGAGCTTGTAGTTTTTTTTGTTTAAAGGTGTTCAATTTCTAGTTACATTCACTTTTCTAATCCTCATTTACCCAAAATTAATTTTTCCTAGGTCACTACTAAGCCCTTAAGACCTTGGTGGATACATTAGTAATTTTTTAAAGAAATTGAATTTTAAGTGAAAGTAATTCATCATCAAAATGTTTGAATTTCATTTGAACACCAAATAAGGATATTAAATAAGTGAGTTATTGACATCCAAAATCATACCCCTAAGTCTAGGATCATTTAGTTTAATAGACCTCAAAATTTTGAAGATTTAGGAAATTGTAAGTTATCATTTAATCAAGAAAAGTGAAATTGGTTTCTACCAATTAATTCCTTATGTTTCAATCATCTGAACATGTTAATTACGATCAAAGATTTCCCATTTCCTTTTCTTGAATCAAGCCTAAATCTTAATCAATCTAAAATTTCTAAAATTATTCCTTTGCCCCTAAGGCTCTATCACTTCATAATTCATCATATTTAATTCAAATTAATTTGGAATTTTTATTCTACCTCACTCATGGATCAATCAAGACAAGAGAGGAGAAAATGTGATTTAAAAATTTAATTTAATTTATATAATTATTTACATGGAAAAATAAGATTTTTCAAAGAAAATTCAATAAATTGACCAAGGGAAAGCTTGTTCACTTAAAATTTTTATTGGAGGTAGACTTAGTCTAGATAACCACTTCGACGAAACTTCATGATTTTTTGAGTTTTATATGAGTTATCAGAATTATTTTAACCTCTCGAGTATTAATTAATTATAAAATATTTTAAATATTGAAAATTAAGTTTTACATTTTTATTAAATCTCTTTGAGGTCAAAGAACCCAAAGAAATAAATAAGATATTTTTATTGTTTTCTTCGAATTATTAGAATTATTTTTGTGAGAAACAAAGGAAAATCCATTTTAGCCTTTAAAAAATTTATTTAAGATTTAAAATTCAATATCTTCACTTAGAAGATTAGGAAAATTATTCCAGTTGCTCCTAAGTGCTTAGGAAATAATTTAGAACATTCCCATGAGCTTAATTAATTTTTTTGTATTTTATTAATTTTTTATTATTTAAATATTTAAAATATGCTTAAAAATGAAATTTTTACTTTAATTTCAATTTTAATTTTAAAAAATTCCTCTGACCACAAAGAACTCCCAAAGCCAATTTCATAAATTTTTGAGTTGTATTTTGATTATTATGATTATTTTGGTTGTTGAAAGGTCTTTAACTTAGACAATTAAATTAGGTTATCAAATGAGCTACAAATGTTTTGAAATTTTTTACAGAAGTCCTCTGAACCTTACCTTACAGTGGAGAATTAAAAGCAAGTCATTTACATGTTTATTTTTCCCAAATTAAATTCATTTGTGTTTTAGGGTTTTATAAAAATTAGGCGTGTTCTTAATGACTTAGCTCATGAAAAATTTTTGCTAGGGTTCTCTAGTCAAAATGAACCTACCAAAATTTTCTTGGATTTTTTTCTAAGCAACATGCTAATTATTATAATTAATTTTCCAAATCAGATGCATAAACATGAAAAAAAAATAGATCTCCGTCTTGAGGTCTCCTCTGACTTTGGAAAAATCAAGGAATATCTCATGACAGATGCAAAAATATGCCAAAATATCAAGAAATGGTGAAATACTTGAATGCATGGAGAATCAAAATACTTAGAACAATATTTAAATAATTAATATATATATATATATATTTATTTATTTTTTTTTTGAGATGCTGGCGGCTGAGGAGGGAAGTGCTCTGTTAGGGTTTCTGAAACCATGGTGAGCTGCTGGTGGTCTTCCTGGAGCTGCTACTTTCATCAGGGTGCCTTGTTCTTCTCCTCCTTCACTCTGAAGTCCTTCCCCACCACTCCTCTCCTAGGTTATGGTGGTCTTTTCACTGCTCCATTGGTTCTTCCTGGGTGGTGGCTTTGTTACTGTTCCATTGGAGGCCTCCTGTTTATGCTGGCCTCCTGATTTCTGTCCTGTTCTCTGCTTCTTTACTGAAAATTTTCTGGTTTTTCTCCTTGTGGCTGGGATCATGGCCACTCCCATTGATGTTCACACTGATTCCAGTTGGACTAAGGCTACTTATGCAGGGATTGTTGGAAGAGCTAATGACACTCTCCAAGATCCCAAAAATTTAATCTTTCCTCAGGAATTCCATAATGCTGCTGCTGGCAAAGGGATCTGCCCTTGCATCAACCCCCTGGGTTCCAAAGATGGAGAGACTGCAGTCTATTTCTCTGCAGCTGAAATTGCCTCACTGAATGAAGAAGTCAAACTTACTCTTGTTGGAAAATTCCAGTTGGGTCAACCCAAAATTGACCTTGTTAGAAGCTTCTTTGATTCTTTAATTTTATTGGAGAATGGAAGCTTGGTTTGATAGATGGAAGACATCTTCTTATCCAACTCACAATGGAAGAAGATTATGCTAGACTATTTGCTAAACAAGTTGTTTCCATATCAGGAGTTACAATGAAAATCCAGAAATGGACTAGAGACTTTGATCCAACTAAGGAGCCTCCTATGGTCCCAATTTG